GAAGTATAGATGATATGCAAACCACAACGGGTTTCTGTTTCAGTCTTGGAAGTGGAATTTTTACATGGCAAACTCAAAAGCAACACACAATAGCGCAATCAATGGAAGAGACAGAATATATGGCTTTGTATGCAACAACAAATCACACTATTTGGTTGAAACAGTGATTGAACGAGATTGGATTTGGAGTATCAAGAAGCATACAATTGTATTATGATAACCGATCTGCGATTGCGATCAGTCGAAACCCGGTTTAGCACAAAAGAACCAAGCACATCCAGATCAAGTACCACATTGTAAGGGAAACACAAACCGAAGGGATTATTCAGCTCCGATTTTGCTAAAGCGAAGATATATTGGTCGATCTACTCACGAAGCTGCTAAGAACAAGACAATTTGAAGTTCTCAGATTTGGATTGGGTATAAAAGAAAAGGATTCGAGAGGAAGTGATGTAGTTGGCTCATCCTTTTATGTGGAAAAAAAATAAGGGTTTGTTGAAGAAGAAGAAGACAAGAACAATCTGGAAAAAGATTTGCTCACGTGGAGAAAAACAATTAAGATGAACTTGGGTCTTTTGTATTTTTTGTTTCGGCCCACGAGAGAAAAAGATAAAATAGTAACTTTAACGGATATGTAGTAAAAACAAAATGTCCAGGTATAGTACTGGATTTGTGTGTTTTTATCGGAACAAAAATATGTATCAGAGAAAGGACATTTGGTCCTTATCTATCAAAGGATTTTGCTATATGTAGGCAAAGTTCCTTAACAAAAGAGTATGAGAAAATTGTGAAAAACATATCTTCATCTTCTTTCTTTTCATCTTCTTTATTTTTCATATTTTTCTTGATCTGAAATAAAAAAAACAGAATCGTTACTTTGTTAGTACAAGTAAAATGTAGAAGTTAGACGGTAGGAAGTTATCAAAATGAGATATCAAAAAGCTATCAGAGGGCTTAGTTGCTTTGGCCCAATCTCGTATCCTGCATGGATAGGAGGTAATCACAGACTAATCGATCGAGCTCGCGAATAGCAGTTACAGATGAGGTTAAATGATGAAAGATCCTATGATTCTACTCTTTCCATATCAAGTACAAAGATATTTGAAGAACTAAGTTGATCGACAACTGTTTGTGCCTGCTTCGACCATTATCAGGTTTCTCAATCCAAGAAACACATTCTGCTACATCAGTTGGCGAATCAGTCCAACATAGTGTTGCATAATACCGCCAAATATCGGCGTCGATTAGCAACTAAAGAACAAGTGGGTGCATGTTTCTTCATGTGACTGGCATAGAACACAACTCAAATCAGCAATCGAGCCCCATCGGTATAGTCTATCACGCGTTAGGAGCCTTTGTAACATCATTAACCGATGAATGAATGCGTACCTAGGTATACCGCGCTTGAACCAAACAATATTATGCCACGGTACAATAGGGATAAGGATGCGAATTTGTTGTCATGTAAGGGCTGACGAGAAAGAGGTAAGATAGTTGTCAACAACATACCTCCACATATAATAGTCCGGCCCATTCTCATCGGAAGGAACCGATCAAGAGGATAACATGGCGTGAAGACGCTCAGTAAGTTCCAGCCGATGCCATCGATGGCGTCCCTAACCTTTGCATGGCACGGAATCAGCAATGCTTTTGGACCATCCTCCCCAATATAGATGATCAGTGCTTCCAACCCAATCCAATCATCATACAAAACGATGCTCTATATATGTCCAGCACCCACTTTGCATCTGATAAATTTACTGGCAATGACCTTCATATTCAAAAGCTTCCACAAGTATTAGGAGTGGCGGTTAGATGAGGGAGTTGCCCAAAACCCCCGATCTATTATCTTTTGTTCTTTTTCTGTTATCTATTTGTCATGTTTTGTAAATTCAAAATAGAGCAAATTTTCAATATAGTGTTTCCAAAACTTAGGGCTAACACCAACATATATGACTATAAATAAAAAAAATTATTTTTGAAGGAAAAAACCTATTAAATTTTTTGAACTTGTAATATGGTGAAAAATAATTCCTAAATTTTTTATTTAATAAATTTATTCTCAAGCTTGCAAAATGTATCATTGTAATTCTCAAATTTGTTAATTAGTACCAAAAAAAACTTTGACAAAGTTAATCTACAAATTAGTATAGAAATTATAATGACATATTTACAAATTTGAAAACTAAAATGACGTATTTTGTAACTTTGAAAATAAATTTATCAAGTAAAAAATTTAATAATTTATTTTCTATCATTTTACAATTTCAGAAATTTTAATGGGATTTAACAATAACTCGGATTTGAAACCTAGTGTCCAAAAATCTCGGATACCGAATCTTCGAATGTATGTCTAACACTAGCCTCGACCAATGCATATAAAAACAATTAGAAAAACGCTTCAAAGCAATTATCTGCTTTGTCTATAAGCAAATAAAATAAAATTTAATTGGGTTTTGTCTTAACAGGTGATATGGAGACAGGAAAGGTGGGAATTATTTCTAACACCTTCCTTTCTTATCCATTTGCAATGATTTTGGTCGTGGGCCCTAATGGTAAAAAAAACTCGTATTATAAATAACTGAGTAAATAATCATTCACGTGCTTGTATTAGAAATAGAGTCTACGAATACCCAAAATTAAAATTCATATCATATTCATATGACACAATCCTTTTAAATTACATCTTTTTAAATGAAGTATTAAAATCAGAATATTATCAATTGAAAGAGAAAAAACTAGCGTTCACGTACTAAGCTATTAAAATAATCTAGAAATAATATCAATTGTATTTTTTTAAAAATCTCATAAAAATAAATAAATTTATTAAAAAATCAAAAAATCGATCATTTAAATATATAAACATTTTTAAAATTGCATATAAATACATAAATGTTCAAAATATTTTCGGATGTCTACAAAGAAATAGTGATGGTGTTGGTAATATTAGGGGTGGACATAATATCCGAAAATATCGATTTGATCCATTACTCATTTTGTATCCGAACCGAAAATTTGGATATCTGGAGTTCACGGATCGGATACGGATATTGGTTTCAAAATATTTGTCGGATACGAATATCAAAATAAAATTATCCAACATATCCAATACGATCCGTACTTTTTAGTCATATTAAAATATATGGTTAATTTGGTAATTAGTTTAGATATAAGGATAACTTTGTAAAAAAATAAAACTTTGGTAGGGCATTTTTCAACCCTTCTTTCCCTCTTTACGTCAGCGGGTTTCTCCCCCCTCCACCTCTCTCTTTCTCTCCTGAAGAATCCCCCATTTTTGCTTGTGCTTTGAGCTTCTATCAACCTCTCTGTCCATTTTCTCTACAATTTTCCCATTTTTGAACCGTTTGAATCGGGACTTGGAGGTTTTGTTAGCTTATGAGACATATGTTCTTTACAGAACAATGTTGTTTCATTCTTATATTTTACAATGAACTCATAATCGATCTATGTTTACGATTTGTGTGTTTTATTATATTTTTCTCTTGACTTAGAATCGGATTTGAGGATTTTATTTTTATTTTTTTTGGTGTATGTGTGTGCGAGACTCGATTGTGTTTTTAGCCGTTTAAATTTTCTATGAGATTATTTCACTAATAAACTTAGTTACTTAGATCTGAATTTCATGAGTTTTTTTTTTGTTTTTTGTTCTGGTCTCATTTCTACTTAGACCAAAATTTTGTGGAACTCGTTATTCTTTTGATTTTCTTTTGTTTAGATGGAATATGTGACACTTGTATTGGATTGATTTAGAAGGTTTATATTATGTATTTTAAATTTGAATATCCTATGGATTATATATTTTATTTGGTTTTGAGTTTTTTTTAAATTTTATTTCTCATTTTTGTTATTTTATATTGGATATGGATATAATTTACAAATATTCGTGTTTTTTTACGAATATCCAAAAACTATGGATCGGATACAAATAACAAAAATTGATATTTGTACGAATCGGATACAGATACAAGTATCTGAAAAATTCCGGATATCCGATCCGTGTCTACCCCTAATTGGTATTCCCATGGCCACTGTTTAACGGTATTATTTCTAACTTCTATTTAGAAAAATAAATATCATGACCGATGTTCCATGATTGTACAATTTTGCTCAAAATTTAATTTGTAGTATTTGAAAGTTTATATATGTATATAAAAGATTTTAGGTGGAATAGTCTAAAAATTATGAATTTTTCAAAAACTTCCATAAAAATATACGAACTTTTAAACTTTTACAAATTTTTACAAAAATATACGAAGCTATTTCTAGCACAATCGATAACCATGGTTACAACCATGTTTTATTTAATTTTAAAAAATTGTGTATTTTTGTAGAAATTTAAAAGTTGGTGTATTGTTATGGTAGTTTTTCAGAAGTTCATGATTTTTTAAGCTATTTTTTCAAGATTTTAATAGTTGATATATATATACATTTATGCTGCAAAAAAAATCATATAGATATTTAGAAATTTATAACAACTCCACGGGTATTTCTTCTTAAATTTCCACCAACCTTATTGGATTAATTCATACTTCTTAAATTATTATTGTGACGATTGTTGTGGTCGTGGTCATCTTCATTAGGGTACTCGAAGAGCACTCCATTTATTTAATTGGTTGAATACTTGTAAATGGAAGCAAATTTTTCTTCGACTGCGACATGCGCAATGAATTTAACCACAGCATGCAAATATTAATTTTAATATTGCAAACTTCAAAGTAAGAAGATAGTATATTCATTATATTGAAGAAGGATGCATGCAAAACTAAAAGCTGTGAGAAAAGACTCTCAACGAGTTCGAGGGTTTCTGTTGATAAGACCCTTCAAACGAAACAGAGGCTTCCAAGTAAGAAAATAGTATATATCTAACACAGAGCTAGTGGATTATTTTCGAAACTATATTTTCTTGGACGATTTCACCCTTCTCGTGTGACATCAAGATAGATATGTCAGTCCATATAAAGACAATGCTCACAACCACACTACATAACTTTTTCAATCGTCACATCTCTCTCTATCTCTCCCTCTCTCTCTCTCTCCCTCTCCTTCTCTCTCGGACATGAGGGCGGTTCTGTCGCCGGAAAACGTGGCCTCGGCGGAGTTGTGTCCGCCGGAGAAACCGAAGAGGAATAAGTTTGCTTTTGTGTGTGCTATTCTAGTCTCTATGACTTTAATTCTTCTTGGTTATGGTTAGTTTCTTTAATTCTTTCTATCTGTTTTTTTTATTTAATGAATGGTGATTATACTCTGGATTTGATTTTGAAAAACTACGGAAAAATATATTCTTTTTTTTCTTAGTATTTAGTTAGGAAAAATAATTCACGTGACTAAATTCTTCATAGAGTAAACCCTAATTATTTTTGGTTCATTGCTTGGCTTTAAACCAAAATGAGGATTAGAGTTTTTGTGAGGTAGTGGATGTGTATTGTGCTCCATCAAAAGCTAAAGAATAGTTTATTTAATAAAGGGAAATACTTTTGTGTTGATAAGGGTAATACTTTTTTTTTGTAATTTATATATAGGTGTTTGAAAGAGTAAGCACTTCAATGCATATAACACACATTAAAATGCATTCGGACAAAACTCAGTCACAACCATATCATCAAAACCACCTTTCTCCCCACCATTTGTCTTTTCCTCTTTGGATACATTTTCAACTCGGATATGATCTCCTTTCTCTCTCTCTCTCTATATATATATATATATAAACCGAACCCAAACGTGTTTGCCGAGTGGAGAGTCGTGCTCTTACGTCTTATGTTCGAATAGCGGGAGGAGCGGTGCAATTTAATTGTGGTACAAAAATTGTTTAAAAAATTCGGTGAACTTTTGAGTTATAAAAAAACAATCGGGATTTACAAAAATAAAAAAGAATGATTGGCCAAGGTTGATTAACAAATTATTATTTCCCAATCTATTCGGATGGATTAGATGGATTAAAATGACCAATAAAAATGAAAGAGTCCTCTCTCTCAATTTGTTAATGTGTTCGTATTACTCTCAGTTGCTCAAATATGGAAAATAAAGAACAACGCTAACTTTTTTTTTAAAACGAAATAACTTGTTGATATTTATTTTGGTATATTCATTCTCTAAAAAATACTGCGGAAATTAATGAACGGGAGAAAAATACGTGCAGATATAGGAGTGATGAGTGGAGCAATCATATACATTAAGAGAGATTTGAAGATAAGCGACGGACAAATCGAGATCCTTGTCGGAATCCTCAACATATATTCGGTGGTCGGAGCATGCTTCGCCGGAAGAACCTCCGATTTGATCGGCCGGAGGTATACGATAGTGTTGGCCGGAGGAATATTCTTCGCCGGAGCAATCCTCATGGGATTCGCCACCAACTACGCTTTCCTCATGTTCGGAAGGTTCGTCGCCGGATTCGGCGTCGGATTCGCCGGCATGATCGCCCCTGTCTACACCGCCGAGATTTCTCCGGCATCCTCACGTGGCTTCCTCAACTCCTTCCCCGAGGTATTTTAAGCATATATCCCACATCCCAAATGAAAATGGAATCCGTATATTCTTTAAAAAATGGAATAAAAAAATTCTAATAAATAGAGTATGAAAATAACGGAATAAACAAAAAAAAATTACCATTAAAAATCGGAACCAAATAAAACTCGGACCAAAACAAACCGATTAATATAAAATCGAATGTTTTATATTTTTCGAGTTAAAAACTGTACTTTTTATTCATCCCAATTTTAATTACTTACTTTTTTTTAATCTTACGAAATCTTATACTTGTTATATTTAACAATAAAATACATATAATTTTAAAAAATTGACAAATAAATTTCTAGATACAAAAATTGACTATTCTAATGCTGACATGTCAATAATTTTATCTTATTCACAATATAGTCACCTAAATTTAAATAATATTAACTAATAAAAATTACACATATACACATACATATATGCCACATAAGCTATGATTTTTTTTTTATGTTAAAAAACTGTGGAACATAGTCGTCTGATCATTATTTTCTGCAAGTATATAGGTGTTCGTAAATGCAGGAATATTGTTGGGATACGTATCGAATTTTGCATTCTCGAAGCTTCCGCTTCACTTGGGATGGAGATTCATGCTAGGCGTCGGAGCCATACCATCGATTCTCCTCTCCATAGGCGTCTTTGCAATGCCCGAGTCACCTCGGTGGCTCGTCATGCAGGGTCGACTCGGCGATGCCAAACGAGTCCTCTACAGAACCTCCGATTCCAACTCGGAAGCTGATCTCCGTCTCGCCGACATCAAGTTTGTCGCCGGAATTCCTCAAGATTGCAACGATGACATCGTTCAGGTACTCATTATAAGTTTGAATTTGATGTCTTTAACGAAAAATCATATTGGGTTCGAAAAATAGAATACATCGATCGGTTTAGATTTACGTATGCATGCATGGATGGGTTTAGATTTACGTATGCATGTGACTTGTTTGGTTTGGTTTAGGGTCGGTTTCAGATTCCTTAAAGACTGTGGATTACTCAATATGAACACGGATGGATGAATAATAAACGAAACAATATATATACACACACGTGCTTGCATGTGTCTTATAAAGATTCCAGTAAGAAAAGAAAATTAATAAATATTTACATATTCCTATATTTAATTTACGATTAACTTATGCATGGGAACTACTTTGATCCAACTCGTATGCACTAATTAAGTACGACGATAACTATAGGTTGAGAAGAGAAACAGCCATGGCAAAGGAGTGTGGAAGGAGCTTCTTGTCCGGCCAACACCGGCAGTCCGCCGTGTTCTCGTCGCCGCCTTCGGCATCCATTTCTTCCAGCAAGCCTCCGGCATCGACGCCGTCGTCTTATACTCTCCTCGGATATTCAAAACCGCTGGCCTGAATTCCGACAAGCAGCAGCTTCTAGCCACGGTAGCCATCGGGACCGTCAAGACAACTTCGATTCTGGTTTCGACGTTCCTTCTAGACCGTATCGGACGACGGCCCTTACTTCTAAGCAGCGTCGGAGGAATGGTTATATCTCTCCTAACCCTAGCCATGTCTCTAACGGTGATTGATCACAGACCGGACAAGAAGATGATATGGGCATTAGGACTGAGCTTGGCAACCGCAATAACGTACGTGGCTACGTTTTCAACGGGATTAGGCCCCATAACATGGGTTTACAGTTCAGAAATCTTCCCCCTGAGGTTAAGAGCTCAAGGAATGAGTATGGGACTGATAGTGAACAGAGTCACGAGCGGCGTGATAGCGATGACATTCTTGTCTTTGACTAAGGCCATAACCACGGGTGGAGCCTTCTTCTTGTTCGGAGGGCTCGCCATGGCGGCGTGGATGTTCTTCTACACGTTCTTGCCGGAGACAAAGGGGAAGATGCTGGAGGAGATGGATGAGCTTTTCGACAATTTCAGGTGGAGAGGTTCCAAGACTAAGGAACATATGGAGGTTGAGGTAAGACAGTAAGGAATAACTACTAATGATTTGTTTCCTTTTGTGTAAAAAAAAATATATATATGTTTATGTTTCAAGAAGTATCGGAATTTCGCGCAATATAATATATATAGTTGTGCTTGTGATATTAAGAGTCGTTTTTATCTTATTATGGATAATTAAGAATTTGAAATAGATAATATAGTTTTTAGTAATATTTAATATAGTAAAAAATAGGACATTATTATAATGTAGTAAATACGTAAAGTTTTAGTATTACATAAGTACTCTATAACTTTTATAATCAATTTTTTTTTGTACGTTGTAGGTTGAAGGATATTTTGATTTGGCGTTTGGGTTTTTTGGATTTTATAATTTTTCTATAAATTACCAAAGGTGGATATAATCAATTAATACTCAAATTTTAAAAAACAAAATCGACAAAAATCACAAACCCCACAATTGATATTAGATATTTTCAGATGACGACGGAAAGATCGCCGGAGAAGATGAACTCGACAGTAGAGAGAGAACAGTTATAGAGAGAGAAAGCTTAGAGAGAGAAAAATGATTTGTATTTAGTCGTTAACCTGTTTGTTCAATACACTGGAGTTTAAATACTCTGTTTGAAATACAAACCCTCTACTTCTACCAGCGGCTTATATATATATATATGTTATATACACTGATATACCCCCCTCAAGTCTATGATTCCTTTGAAGGAAGAAATAGACTTGAAGTTTGTAATTTCGCCATCATTGAATGAAACACCGCAGGCTGTAGAGACTTTGTGAGAAAATCTGCCAATTGCTTCTCCGACTTCACATGCATAATATTGATCAGTCCTTGCCGCAACTTCTCTCGAACAATATGGCAGTCTAATTCAATGTGCTTCGTCCTTTCATGGAACGCAGCATTTGATGCAAGATACAGAGCTGATTTATTGTCACAGAACAAGTTTACCGGCAATGTAACTGGAATGTGAAGTTCATGTAGCAGATTTGTCAACCACACAATCTCGCAAGTTGCATTTGCCAAAGCTCGATACTCTGCTTCAGTGCTGCTCCTTGAGACTGTGTTCTGTTTCTTGGATTTCCAGGATACAAGGGATTCTCCGAGAAAGACCAAATATCCAGTAACAGAACGTCTTGTGTCCGGACAAGTGCCCCAATCTGCATCAGCAAACGCTTGAAGCTTCAATTCAGATTTTGATGAATAAAACAATCCTTGACCAGGATTATTCTTAAGATATCTGATGATCCTATGTGCAGCTTTTAGGTGTTCATCGGTTGGAGCCGACAAGAACTGGCTCAACTTGTGAACAGGGAAGCTGATGTCGGGTCTTGTAATCGTCAAGTAAAGTAATTTTCCTACCAGAGCTCGATAGGACGATGAATCTGATATTAGTTATCCTGTTTCTTTACTGAGATGTACATTAGGATCCATTGGAACAGAGACCGGCTTGCATCCAGATAAACCTGTCTCTGACAGCAAATCCAGACAGTATTTGCGTTGACAGACTGATATTCCTGCTGATGACCTTGCTATTTCTAAACCCAGGAAGAAACGCAAGGGACCAAGATCTTTAATGTTGAAGTTTCTCCTCAACAGGCCTTTCAATTCATCTACTGCTGCATTGTTATTACTAGCAATAACAATGTCATCCACATATACGAGTAATGCCACAAATGAATCATCGTTCTTCATCACAAACAATGAGTGGTCTGTTTGTGACTGTCCCTGCTGTCAAAAGTACAGATGAAAATTTCTGGTACCATTGTCTTGAAGCTTGCTTCAAACCATATAGGGACTTCTGCAATTTACAAACAGCATTTTTCGGAAAAGGAATTCCATCTGTTGATGTGAAACCTGGTGGCAGACTCATGTATATAGTTTCATCCAAATCTCCATGAAGAAATGCATTGGAGACATCCATCTGTGATAAGGACCAATTCTGTGTTGCCGCTAGAGCTAAGAGAACCTTGACAGTGACCAGTTTCGCAACTGGCGAAAATGTATCGGTGTAATCCACACCTTCTTGCTGTGTGTATCCTTTTGCTACCAAACGTGCCTTGTATCTATCGACAGTGCCATCTGCTTTCCTCTTTATTTTGTACACCCACTTACAACCAATTGGCTTGTGATCTTGTGGAAGAGATACAATAGACCATGTATCATTCTGAATTAATGCTGAAAGTTCTTCATTCATTGCATTTTGCCAATCTGATGAATTTACTGCTTCTTTGAAATGTCGAGGTTCTGTTTCATGATTTAGGTTTAAAGTAAATTTCTAATAGTTTGGGGAAAGCTTTTGGTAGTTAACAAAGGAGGAAAGTGGATAAGGTGTAGTGATAGATGGGTTTACAGCATTATGTTGAGTAACATAACACTGATACTCAGATAGGTAGGATGGTGTTTTGATTTGGCGTTTTGGTCTGATATTTTGGTCTGATATGGGTTGTTCTAGGGAGTTTGTTTGAGGTGGTAGAGGAATTGATACTCTTTCTGGTTCAATGGGTTCTGAGATGGGTAAAGGTAATGTAGTTGAGGGGAAAATATCATCAGGTTCGCAAATGTCTCGACATTTCTAGAAACAAATACCTCAAATGTCTCAGGATCAAGCAATTTGTAACCTTTGATGCCTGGTGGGTATCCAATAAAAACTGATGTTCTTGCTCGTGCTGAACACTTTGTCCTGTCTTTCTGAATAGTAGTGTTGTAACATAAACAGCCAAACACCCGCAAATGTGAGTATACTGGCTCCTTTCCATTCAGAATTTCATACGGAGTCTTCTGATTCAACAAAGGAGAAGGTATTCTGTTGATCAGATACACAGCCGTCCTCACACAATCTGTCCAGTATCCTAAAGGTATCTTTGACTGAAATAACAGAGCTCGTGCAACATTCAACACGTGTTGATGTTTTCTCTCTACAACTGAGTTCTGTTCTGGTGTATAAGCACACGAAAAGTGATGTATAATTCCCTTTTGCTGACAGAAATCTGTAAATCTCAGCTCAGGTGCGTTGTCTGAACGAATAATTTTTATTTTTGACATGTATTGAGTCTCTATCATAGCAACAAATGCAGGAAACAAATGCAACACATCATTTTTATTATTGAGAAAATAGACCCATGTAGCTCGGGAACAGTCATCAACAATTGTGAGAAAGTATCTATGTCCATCTACAGAAAGAGTGGAGAATGGACCCCAAATGTCTAAATGAACTAGATCAAATGGTTTTTCTGATACATGATTATTGAATGGAAAAGATAAACGTTTTTATTTGGCCAAATGACAAGTCTGACAGTGGGTCAATTCTGCACATTTGGTGAGAGAGATGGCTGAGGAGAGAGTCTTTATTCTTGATATGGAGGGGTGGCCCAGTCTTTGGTGCCATATATTTGTGTCTGCAATGAGTGCATTACACGTGTGTTTGGTTTTTGGTGATGTAGGAGGTGGTGCCGGTGAAAAGTTTGGATCCAGAATGTAAAGGTTCTGCTGAATCATACAAGAATTAGAGGTAAAGGTTACAGAAACAGAGTCCTGCTTGAGTAATGCAGAGACACTGAGAAGATTAAAGGCAAAAGTAGGAACAAACAAGACATTGTGAAGGGTGAGGAATGAGTTTATAGTGACTGTCCCAGCATGAGTGATTGTGATGTGATGCTTGTTAGGCAAAGTTACTATGACAGGAGACACAATACGTAGATCAGAAAATAAATTTCAATTCGCACAAACATGTGTTGAAGCTCCAGAATCAACAATCCAAGTACCAGCAGCAATATCATTATTTTGTATTAAACTTGAGCAAAGATATGCAGAATCCATACCAGAGAATGCTGGCAGAGTTTCTGTTGCACCTTCAGCAGTGATTGTGGCATTGACAAACGCCATCTTATCAGATAGTTGAGCATATAGCTCACGAACTTGATCTGTAGAAAGATCAGACACTGATTATTTTGTATTAAACTTGAGCAAAGATATGCAGAATCCATACCAGAGAATGCTGGCAGAGTTTCTGTTGCACCTTCAGCAGTGATTGTGGCATTGACAAACGCCATCTTATCAGATAGTTGAGCATATAGCTCACGAACTTGATCTGTAGAAAGATCAGACACTGACGGAATCTGAGTGTTGTTGAAATTTGAAACTGGTGCAGTCTGAACTGATGCTATAACAGGCCTAGGATATTGAGGACGGGGGCCTGAAGCTTGATAAGGAGTATATGGCCTGATAGGTTGCTGTGTAAATGCTGGTCTTGGTGTTGGTGCTCTTGGTACTGTAACTGGGGCTGGTTGTTTATAACCTGGTGGATAGCCATGTAACTTGTAGCATTTCTGTATCACGTGTCCATAAGTCCACAATGTGTGCATAAAGGCCTCTGCCTTGGCCTAAAATTTCCACCAGATACCGCTGCTACCATATTGTCAGGGATCGCTGAAGCCTGAAGAGCATGAGAATCACTGACGTTTGGAATTTTGATCAATCTCTGTTGTTTATGCTGTATAATCAGATTGTATGTTTTATCCAGATCAGGCAAAGGATCTAACATAATGATCTGACTTCTGATGCTCTCATACGAATCATTAAGTCCAAAGAGGAACTCAATGACGAAATCTTCCTCATGATGTTCATACCATTTCTGATTAAGATCACAGGCACATCGGCCACAAGAACATTTAGGATTGTTGCGTACAGCCTTCAACTCTTCCCATAGAGTGAGCAATTTCGTGTAATAAGTGCTGACATCAGTTGAACCTTGACTTAGAGATCGAAGTTTTTGTTTGATACTGTATCGTCTTGGAACATGATTCTGTTTGTATCGCCGTATGAGATTGTTCCAGATATCTTTCACAGTCGAGATATGAAGCAGACTTGGCGCAATCGTCTTTGAAACGGAATGCATCAACCAAGAACTCACTACGACATTATTCCGAGACCATAACCTAGCGTTCGGATGATTCTCAGGAGGTCTAGGTAAGGAACCATCAACAAAGCACAGTTTGTTCCTTCCTTCTAACGCCATTGAAACCGATCGATACCAAGAACTGAAATCTTCAGGTTCAGGTCCATTTAAGCGATCCGAGACTAGCATTACATTCGTATGATCACTGGAGCCAAGATAGTAATGACTAGTAACAGGTACCTCAGGTAATTCTTCAAGATCTTCGTAATGTTCTTCCATGATAGAGAAATCTTCAAGATCAATGAAAAAACAGAGGATCGGATTGAAAAGAACAGAGTAGAGCGGAGCAATTTACTGCTCTGATACCATTTCAGATGACGACGGAAAGATCGCCGGAGAAGATGAACTCGACAGTAGAGAGAGAACAGTTATAGAGAGAGAAAGCTTAGAGAGAGAAAAATGATTTGTATTTAGTCGTTAACCTGTTTGTTCAATACACTGGAGTTTAAATACTCTGTTTGAAATACAAACCCTCTACTTCTACCAGCGGCTTATATGTATATATGTTATATACACTGATAGATATTCATAAAACCCATTCGTTGGACATATATAATGATTTGATCGGTGGGATTACTAATCAAACATAGAATTCAATAACGGAACTATATATATATATATATATATATATACATGTGTGTGTGTGCGTGTCCATGGGCAAGTGAATTACGAAACCAAACCAAATTTTCTTGTCCGATTTTGCCCTTTTCGTGGGACATGAATAGACTGTGTAATTATTACATATATAAAAGACGTATATAGCTCACGATCACACTTGAATGAGTTTCCTCAATTTTCACATATATCTCTCTCTCTCTCTCTCTCTCTCTCTCTCTCTCTCTCTCTCTCTCTCTCTCTCTAGTGAATAAAATAAATAATCCATCGGAAAATGAGGTCGTGGGTCGTGGCGGAGAGACCAAAGAGGAATAGGTTTCCTTTTGTGTGTGCAATCTTGGTCTCCATGATTTTGATACTTCTTGGTTACGGTTAGTTCTCGTTTTCTTTTTCTTGTTTTTTATTTAAATATTTATTTTGTTTAACGCATATTGTCTGCTAATGGAAATGGATGCGAGAAGTCCATTTTCATCCTCACAAAAAAAAATTCAAAATTCTGTGAATTTAAAATAAAAATTCAAAACGATAGAAACATTTTTCACACACGCACACATATATATATATATATATATAATTAAGAGGGGGAACAAAAAGTCTAATGTTTGTATGACATATATTTTCATTAATATATAAAACTAAAGGGAACTTTCACAAAAATAACTTAATTTTACAAAATGTGATAACAAGATATCAAATATATAAATATACCAAGAAAATACCTTGATTTTTGAAATAGAAAGTAATTTTCTACACAGATTATGTTGTTAAAACTCGAATATAAAATTACTTTCGTATAAAGATTGTTAAGATATGTTAAAATTTGTATATAAAACAATTTCAAATGATTTGAATCTATTTATCGACGATTTAATTAAAAATTATATATGAAATTATCTTTAATTTAAATAATTGAATTATTTTTTATGTATTTTAATATTTGATATATTTTTTTATCAAATTAAAAATTAATTTAATTTTTAATATATTTTGTACAGTTACGGCATTTTTATGGAATTTTTCCAAAACTAAATTAATGAAGTTTGAATAATCGGGTATATGTGTGATGTATACCGTTACCGACAAATTACTTGTCAAAGTGACGATACTAGCCTTTGTCGAGTCATTGTAATCTCCTAGATATTTGTAAATTGGACCGACTCAAGCAGTATCTTTTCGCTCCATCAAATAAACAAGGTAAAATCTTAAAAAAATATATAAATTTACTAATTTTCACCAATTTTTTTAATTTTTATCGAATAAAATTTCAATTAAATTTTTTAGTTTTATAATAATTATCATTTTTAAACTCATCGTTGACATATGATATAGTGATATATAAATAATGATAATATCAAATATAATTAAAATATTTATTTATCATATAATATATCGGTATATTATGATAATATTTAAATTTTAAAATGATAATGATTATAAAATTTATGTTTAGTTTTTATTAAAAAATAAAGTTATAATTTTATTTGATAAAAAATAAAATTAAAATTTTATGAAAATTGATAAGTTTAATTATTTATTTTAGATTTTTTTAATAAATAATAAATAAATACCCTTATCTTTATATTCTCGAGACAACACGTTCATCCTTTCCATTGTGGGGAAAAAAAAGTTGACTAAACGAAAATGACCACATATTCCACGAGGCACAGCAAAATCAATGATGATCGGTCACTTGATTGAGTTTTTGAAGATGAAAAACTCGGACCACAGGTTTGGGTTTGGATTTTCACGTTACCTACGCGTGGGTATCCAATAGAAATAAAATTATTTTTATATCCAATAGAAATAAAAACTAATCTAGATCTATTTTGTATTAATTTACCGATATATTTCTAAAATTACCGTAAATTATTGAAATTTTTTCAGATTCGGATATCTATAAATATTCATCGGATATCCACATATCGTCAGACCGGAACAATGTCCGTATTTAAAGACAACCAAGATTTAATTACTAAAAAATCGGATATCTAACTCTTTACCACTCCTAACCGTAATCATTTTTCTTTACATAATTTTATTGTCTTTCTTTAATGGTAAGACGTCAATTTTTTCGATTCACCTTCGTAGACAAGAAATTATCAAGAGATATGAAGAATATCTTTATATATGTCCTCTCAAGATGAATCATTTATAATAAATTCAATCTTATTATATAAAAACTGAATATTTAAATTATGATAGTATTAAACGAAACATCTTTCACGTGATGTTGTGGTTCGCACTTGAGTCGGTATTGTACTGTGATACCCGTATCTCGATTCCCGTCACAGGATGTGCCACATGGACTAAAAGCAATAAAATATTACAAAACTACAATACGAGAATTTTTAAAACCGTTTTAATATTCAGCGGAATTAAGCAGCAGTTAAGTCTTAAAACACATATGTCCGAATTGAAAAGGTACAACTGTACAAACATAGAAATCGTATCCCATAGTTCAAATCATACAATAAGGAAAACCCTGTACATGATGTTGTCTCTTCGAAGTTTTCTCACCTCAACCGTGCTACTCGTGCTCCTCGTGATCTAAAAAAGGTGAAACCACGAGGGCTAAACACAACTGCTTAGTGAATGACCCGGGTCGGATCCGGTAAACTCGTTCCCAGCGAGAACGGGTCGGATCCGGTATATTATTCAATGTTAAACATATATTCATATCATATTAGAACATCATCGTATCAATTCCCGTATGGCTTCACACCCTCGGGCTAGCCGTAAACCCTGGTCACTTCTCATGACCAGGAGCACCTCTCACGCCCGTCACATCTCATGACGTTGGTCGTCGCATCTCACGACAATCAAGTATGTATGGTTTCACACCATAGAGTTAGCCGTAAACCCTAGTCACATCGCATGACTAGGAGCGCCTCTCACGCCCGTCACATCTCATGACGTTGGCCATTGCTTCGCGCAACAATCAAGTTCCGTATGGCTTCGCACCATAGGGTTAGCCGTAAACCCTAGTCACATCGCATGACTAGGAGCGCCTCTCACGCACGTCACATCTCATGACGTTGGCCGTCGCATCTCACGACAACAATGTGCCACACGTGCACGTCACTTCTCGTGACGACCGATGTCACTTCTCGTGATTCATCGGAGAATAAACCCAATCATCATACAATGATTCACTCGGTGTATGTCACACATCTCACCACGCATTCAAATTACGTTTTGTCATGTTCCGCCTCGTTTTTCACATAGTTTGGTCGATCCCACGGTTTATATTTCATCCCAAGGCCTATTGGCTCAATTTCATCACTTTTTAGTCTGGACCGGTCGGTCCAGGCAATTTCGGGCGTTTTCGGTATTTTCAGCGGTCCAGAGCCTGGACACAAATCGCGATTTCGTCCCAGATTCCGGTCCGACTTTGTTGGCTCATAACGTACTCGTTTCTTGTCCAAATTGAGCGCCGTTTGTTTCTAAATGCTCATTGAAATGTCCTCTTTGGATTCTAACCACCAATTTATTTAATTATCACACCTATTTTCTGGGTAATGACCCGAAAGTCTCGGACTTAGAATGAGTTTGCGTTTTTCTCTGAAATTTACAGTTTTTCTTCGATTTTCAAACTTTCATATCTTACTCGTTTCTTCACCAAATCGAGTGCCGTTTGTTTCTATGTGTTTATTGCAACTTCCGCTTTCTAATCATGCCCAGGTTTCATCGAATTAACACCATAACAATGATGAAAATGAGCTCACACAGAGGCAACTCGAGCCATTCACCTCAAACCAGGGCTGTTTCTGGTTTTGGCCGGAGTTGATGGAGTTTTCCGGCGATTCCGACGACGGGATCCTCTCAGAATTCCTAGGGTTGCCTCTTGTCACTTCCCCGAGCTCCTTTCCTCTTCTCTCCCTCTCTTTCTCTTCCTCTCTCTCTCTCTTTCTTCTCTTTTTGCTGGGTTCTTCTTCTGCAGAGGAAAATGGCTGAGGTGCCATCTTTGCGGAGGTTTTTCATAGACAAGGAGGAGTCACATGGGCACTAACTCATTCCCACTGTAAAGCCTGCATCGTGGAGGGTCCGGGGGTGGTCATAACGCGTCATTTGGTGCCCCACGCGCTGAGAAAAGTCTGTCTGAAGTCGGCAACTCGAGCTGGATTTGCTTATGTGTCTGTCGGGCTGGACCGGTTGGTCTGCCTCTTAGACCGGTCGGTCCAGACGTCTTGTTTCCCGTTTTTCATCGTTTTCTCGTCTCTTTCATATGTGGTGATTCCCGGACCTTGTCTCGGTACTTTATGGTCCATTTTTAATGTCTTTAAGGCTCGTCGATCGAATTTTTCTCTTTCCGGAAACTAATTAAAAATTTCGAATCTGGATTCGAGGTATTACATATACGCTTTATAATGTTTGAAGAGTTTGAGAGTTGTAGTCTTAGAGACTGATATGGCACGAAAAATACGATGTGTATGCGTGAATTGGGTTGCACGACAATTAGGTCGGTTTAATAATTCTAACTATTTGTTGATATTTTGGATATTAGTTGTGCTGTAATGTGTTTAGATATTTAGGATTTCAATATTTTCGTTTAGTAAAAGTTATATTTATATGTTTTTTATTTCGATTTGGTGAAATTATCGTTAAACAATTTTTATTTTCAAAGAAAATAATTCATTTTTGTTAATTTTTTACTATTTTGATAATCAGGATATATTAGATTAATTTAATTTTAGGAATATTAATCATATCCAAATATTTTTAAATCAAATTTATCATTGTATGATATTTGATTCGGTTTCTATTTGCTTCGTAGTGTGGACAACCAAATGGATTTTTAAAAACTTAACCGAATCGATTAAAAATTAAAAGAAAAATCGCATATTAATTAATACATGAATTTGTAAAAAAATTCTAAATAAATATATAAACTTTTAAAAAACCGCCATAAAATTAAACTCTAAATTCTTAAACAACTCAAAAATCACCATTATTATGGTTGTTTTTAAAAAATATTTAAAAGATCATATTTTAATATAGAAGTTAAAAAGAGTTTTTAAATTATTATTTTTTTGAATTTTTATAGTTCATATATTTATGAAAGAGATAAAAGAAAGAATGAATGGTGAAATCCAGATATAGGGGTGATGAGCGGAGCAATCATATACATAAAGAGAGATATGAAGCTAAGTGATGTCCAGATAGAGATTCTTGTTGGAATCCTCAGCATATACTCTCTGGTCGGATCTTCCCTCGCCGGCAGAACCTCCGATTGGATTGGTCGGAGGTACACGATCGTGTTGGCCGGAGGAATATTCTTCGCCGGAGCTCTTCTCATGGGATTCGCCACCGACTACGCTTTTCTCATGTTCGGACGATTCGTCGCCGGATTCAGCATCGGATTCGCCGGCATGATCGCTCCTGTTTACATCGCCGAGATTTCTCCGGCGTCTTCTCGTGGTTTCCTCACTTCTTTCCCCGAGGTAAAAACCCTGTTTTCAGTGAATTATAATACTAATTAATATCCTTTTTATATTATTATTATTATTATTATTATTATTATTATTATTATTATTATTATTATTATTATTATTCCATTTGGGCATAATAACATATGAGGTTAGTTTATAAAAAAAACATATGAGGTTAGTTTGACCTAATTATAGACGTAAAACCATAAAAATAATAATAATAATAATAATAATACACATTTCCATGCAAAATGATATGAACACAGAGTAATAAACCAAATGTGATATCATCACGAAAAAAATAATGGGAAATAAGTTTAAAAAAATAAATATTGTGAAATAATGAAATGTGTTTTCGATTGATGGGATCATGAAACAAATACATAAAAGAGTGTGAATCCAAAGAAAATTATGCGGAGAAAGGAAATTAACAAAATATTTATACACAAAATACCCTTTATTATTTCAATCAAAAGCACGACATGTATTCTCATATTGGGCTGAAACCATTCTTACGTTTCCTACCAAAAAGGTATCAGTGAATGTGGGGATATTGTTGGGATATGTATCGAACTACGCATTTTCGAGACTGCCACTTGGGTTGGGATGGAGATTGATGCTGGGAATCGGAGCCGTACCGTCGGTGGTACTTGCGGTCGGGGTCCTGGCCATGCCCGAGTCGCCTCGGTGGCTCGTCATGCAAGGCCGACTCGGTGAAGCCAAAAGGGTACTCTTTAAAACCTCCGATTCCCATTCCGAAGCCCTTCACCGCCTCTCCGACATCAAGCTTGCCGTCGGAATCCCCGACCATTGCAACGACGACATCGTTCAGGTACATACATCCATAGGAAGTATAACAAAAAAAATGAACTTTTTTAATCTGAAAAATAAATATACGAATTTTTAATTTTGTATAAAAAACATAATGATGAAATGAATCTACTATGATATAAAAATCAGGTGGATAAGAAAAAGAGCCAAGGTGAAGGTGTGTGGAAAGAGCTTATTCTCCGACCAACGCCGTCAGTCCGCCGAGTTCTACTCGCAGCCATCGGGATCCTCTTCTTCCACCAAGCGACCGGAACTGACGCCGTCGTCTTGTACTCTCCCCCTATCTTCAAAACCACCGGTCTTAAATCCGACCACCAACAGCTTCTAGCCACAGTAGCCGTAGGTTCCGTCAAGACATCATCCATTCGGGACCTTACAAACCGATTCTAATTTACTCAGGCACAAACTCGACCGACAAGTGCGAAATATTATTTTGTCCAAACAAAAAGGCTCGCCACCGGGAGAGAATCTGCTCTTACAAGATTGGTTCTATTTAACAAGACCACCATGACATCTTTAGTTTCTGTTGGCTCTTTTGTACCATCCTCTATTGTGGAAATTTCCAATTTTGATATACGGTTTTGCAACCGTGATGTATTTGTAACTGATCCTTTCTTTTGATTAATATATTCACATTTTAACAAAAAAAAAAGACATCATCCATTCTGGTCGCAACCTTCCTTCTGGATCGTGTCGGAAGACGGCCGTTGCTTCTGAGCAGCGTCGGAGGGATGGTCATGTCGCTTCTGATACTGGGCACCTCTCTAACGGTGATAGATCACAACGAAGACAAGAAGGTGGCATGGGCATTAGGGTTAAGCATAACGACAGTGATGACGTACATGGCGTCATATTCTATAGGGTTGGGGCCTATTACATGGGTTTACAGCTCAGAGATCTTTCCGTTGAGATTGAGAGCTCAAGGGCTAAGCATTTGTGTGATAGTGAACAGAGTCACGAGCGGCGTGATAACGATGACGTTCTTGTCTCTGTCTAAGGCCATAACCATCGGAGGAGCCTTCTTCCTGTTCGGAGGGATAGCAATTGCGGCGTGGGTGTTTTTCTACACGTTCTTGCCGGAGACGAAGGGGAAGATGTTGGAGGAGATGGATGAGCTTTTCGATAATTTCAGGTGGAGAGGTCCCAGTGGTGACAGAAATGGAGAGGTTGAGCTCCAAAACTAAGCAGTGATGATTATTCAATCTTTGATGATATGAAAATGTAATAATTATTGGCCGTAAGGAATAATTTTAGTTTCTAAGTGAAGATTTTGTTAAAGATTTTTCATCAACACTTTCTTTTTCTATTGAATCCTTGATTTTCTTCTCTTTTTTTTTAAAAAAATCTCAAACTATGGTATATGACAAAAAAAAACCCCATCGAGATCGCCTGAAATGAGGATTAGAACTCACATATTGTTGTGTTATTTATTGCTAGAGATTTTGTAAATTTAACATGATCAATAAAAATAACAATAATATTCTTCTCAAACTGACATTTAATGTAATATTATAATTAATTTCGAATTAAATGGATTAAATATTTTTTGTTTTCACTCTACCAATCACTCTTCATCTTCCCTTCGAAATTTGAAAAAAAAACAATAAATAGTGTTACATTTACCGTTTCATATTGGATAAATACAGGAGCAACGGAAGCAGAGAATAAATAGCATGCGATGAACACATTTATGAACAGAAATACGACTGATTTTGCTGCGTACAAACGTTGTTAAGATAATATATATATATATATATATATATATATATATGTATATGTATAAATAGTTTGCACCTCAAGTTACCAATGATCCCAAATAAACACAATCTCTTTTTTCTTTTTCTTTTTAATACAAACCCTGCCCTCTCTCCCTTGAACTCCCTTTGCTTTTGGCAATACACACGGCACAAAAAGAGGGAATAATATACCGTTTCATATTCGAATGTACATTCATTGTCTCAGCAGTTTCACTTCTCAATGCCTTGTTGAAGATACTGTATCAAGTCGTACCCGGCCGTCGTCCATTTGTTGTAAGCATCGGTGCAGACATGGATCATGAAGTTTGCGGCCTCTCGTTCGGACATCTCGGGATGAAATCTCTTACGGAGATTCCCAATTGGATCGCCTCGGCTGAAGCAGGGTAATCCGCTGTCCAGCATCATCTGCACCGTGCTTATTATCCCGTCCATATACCGCCGAGCGGCCAAGTATCCCTTCACACATAAGCTTAAAAGCAAAAGAAACGCAAGACCTGTCTTAGAGCCAATTTTCCCCGAAAACAAAAAAGGGTGAAGGTGTCTTTCACCGAATACGGGTGGGATCGGATCAAGTACCCCCGAGTTTCCCGACCTCAACCTCGAGGTGGGTACCCGAACTTCAGGGAGTACACGTGAAATGAGGGCAAGCGAGGGGGTGAGATTTGAGAAGAGATAGAAAGAGACTCAGGGATTCAGAATTAGTGACAAGGCAAGACCTAGCGGCGTGGGCGAACGGGATCCTAAATAGACGCCTCCACCATGGCATAACCCGTTTCGACTTTGAAAGTCTTCGAGTGAAGACATAAAAAATAAAAAGAAACCCTAATCCCATTTTAGTTTTAAATCTTCGAGGTTTCGAGAGTCTTCGATCAAGACTGCCCTCAGCCCTCACATCCTCGCCCCTTCTTGACAGCACCCTCCATGGGTTCGGTAATTGCCGGACGGAACCCGAACCCGGGTTCTCGCTAACAAAGAACCCATGCTCGACCTCATGTCAGATTGGGTTCGGTACCCACCAGATCAATGTAGTTTTGTCTAGAACCTATCAAAGTACTTGATACTTTGGAGCAATATTGTATTGGAGCAATGGAAACAGAGAAATATGAGGATTGAGAAGGTTTGGAGCTAGTTACCTCACGAATTGATGCCATGTTTCGCTTTTCATTACACCCGAAGGATCTAACAACTGAGTCATTTCATGGCTCAATTTGAAATGTGCGGATCCCAAATAAACACAATCTCTTTTTTCTTTTTCTTTTTAATACAAACCCTGCCCTCTCTCCCTTGAACTCCCTTTGCTTTTGGCAATACACACGGCACAAAAAGAGGGAATAATATACCGTTTCATATTCGAATGTACATTCATTGTCTCAGCAGTTTCACTTCTCAATGCCTTGTTGAAGATACTGTATCAAGTCGTACCCGGCCGTCGTCCATTTGTTGTAAGCATCGGTGCAGACATGGATCATGAAGTTTGCGGCCTCTCGTTCGGACATCTCGGGATGAAATCTCTTACGGAGATTCCCAATTGGATCGCCTCGGCTGAAGCAGGGTAATCCGCTGTCCAGCATCATCTGCACCGTGCTTATTATCCCGTCCATATACCGCCGAGCGGCCAAGTATCCCTTCACACATAAGCTTAAAAGCAAAAGAAACGCAAGACCTGTCTTAGAGCCAATTTTCCCCGAAAACAAAAAAGGGTGAAGGTGTCTTTCACCGAATACGGGTGGGATCGGATCAAGTACCCCCGAGTTTCCCGACCTCAACCTCGAGGTGGGTACCCGAACTTCAGGGAGTACACGTGAAATGAGGGCAAGCGAGGGGGTGAGATTTGAGAAGAGATAGAAAGAGACTCAGGGATTCAGAATTAGTGACAAGGCAAGACCTAGCGGCGTGGGCGAACGGGATCCTAAATAGACGCCTCCACCATGGCATAACCCGTTTCGACTTTGAAAGTCTTCGAGTGAAGACATAAAAAATAAAAAGAAACCCTAATCCCATTTTAGTTTTAAATCTTCGAGGTTTCGAGAGTCTTCGATCAAGACTGCCCTCAGCCCTCACATCCTCGCCCCTTCTTGACAGCACCCTCCATGGGTTCGGTAATTGCCGGACGGAACCCGAACCCGGGTTCTCGCTAACAAAGAACCCATGCTCGACCTCATGTCAGATTGGGTTCGGTACCCACCAGATCAATGTAGTTTTGTCTAGAACCTATCAAAGTACTTGATACTTTGGAGCAATATTGTATTGGAGCAATGGAAACAGAGAAATATGAGGATTGAGAAGGTTTGGAGCTAGTTACCTCACGAATTGATGCCATGTTTCGCTTTTCATTACACCCGAAGGATCTAACAACTGAGTCATTTCATGGCTCAATTTGAAATGTGCGCTCTCGAACCGCATGTTTCCACCTGGTGAAGTTTCCAAGATGAAACCGAAATCAATGTGAACAAGCCTCCCCACACTGCATCAAAAACATACAAGTGGTTATAAAATTTCATGCATTTCTTTGCTGATATCATCCATCAAGCTCAAGCAAACCAACATCAATCATTATAACCTTTGTTTTTCCATCACGAGAAATCAGGTTGGTTGAATTAAACTATACCCGAAAATGAATGCAGAGAAAGAGGAAGGGGTATCGTACTTATCAAAGAGGAGATTGCCGTTATGCCTATCTTTTGGTTGCAGTAAAAGGCTTGCCACAGCATAACCAGCACTGCTGATGAGGAAATTCTCACGTGCTGTTTCAAAGCTGGGGGAACCGACGGGTCCATAATCCTGCTGTAAACTATACCCGAAAATGAATGCAGAGAAAGAGGAAGGGGTATCGTACTTATCAAAGAGGAGATTGCCGTTATGCCTATCTTTTGGTTGCAGTAAAAGGCTTGCCACAGCATAACCAGCACTGCTGATGAGGAAATTCTCACGTGCTGTTTCAAAGCTGGGGGAACCGACGGGTCCATAAACCTGCTGAAAGATCTCCAACAAACCACCATCGGTTGTTTCACCCATTTGACTCCGGCTTCGTGTATTTGGCACAACCTATAGTATAGTATATAAGATACAAAAATACAAAGATGGTTTCACAAGTTTATGGAACCGGAAGAAATTTGGGAATTCTCCGGAGGCATATTTTACCCCGTTTTATGGATAAACTATAGGTCATTACATCTATCATTACACGCACGAGAAACCTTTACGAGATGCAGATGGGAAAGAAGCTTTTACCATTCTATGCTGGTCTTTGAAAAAACGTACAACTCACCAACAAATACCAAGCTATGTTCTATGTGATCATAGAGACTAACGGTAGTATTGATGAAAAAATGCAAAAGAACAGTTGAATTGAAATAGAGTACATTAACTTTACCTCGATAATTCCCCTCTCGGCTCCAGTTGGGAGAACTCCATATGGAAAAAGATAAAGATTAATGCCAACTGCTTGAAATATGTCTCTAAGAAGAGATATCACTTGAAGGGCAAGAACATCTTGTCGGCAATCATCTCCCACCTGAATACGTGTTTCGAGAACGACAAAGATGATTTTTTTTGTTTGTATACGCAACAACTACATAAAAAAAAACTTGCGGTAAAACAGTTTTTCAAGACGAACCCAAAACTTACTTTGAAAATACAAGCTTGTGGTTTCACGTCATTATGGTCACCATCACGATCAGTGACATTAAAAGTTATCATGATAGGAACTTTTGCAGCTGATTGCAAGGGTATACCGCTGTCTACACGGATACCCCTTACAAGCTTGTTAGGTGCAGTTGGCAAATAAAGGTCATCTCCCAGCAATTCAATTTTCTCCAATTCCCTGTCACAGAAGATATTAATATTACCGTACATCTAACACAAGCAGAATTATTTTTTAAAATAATCATCAGCTTAGATAAATAAGAAAGATACCTCCTGATACCAGCTCTTCGTTCTTCTTTCGGAAGAGGAAATAATACACCAGAAATAGATGTTACTTTGTCAAAGAAGTCGAACTCTCTATTGAACAAGTCCAGGGCCTTGGAGGTGAAACCATCAATGATATGTTGTCGGACCTCTGGCAAAATCGCTTGAAATGAAGCATTCTGAAAATGATCAAGGACACCCGCAATTAGCTCAGAATGCTGCAGCTAAACAGTCCAAAGCTATGGAATTATTTTTCTGCATGTATCTATGGCAGAACTCGCAACTTTCTTTTCATAGGTTTCACAAATATGTATCAACCTAGGTAAAAACAAGTCTGTGAGAGAACACAGAACTGAAGACAGTCATGAATCTTAAGTGTTCATTCTCAAAAGCCTTGATGTTATACGCCTCTACCCAGAATTTGTCATAAAGATTACAAAGATTCATTTTTTTCCATACTAATAACATAAAAAATACAAACGTGGCCAATGTTTTCAGGAGGAGATAACCTACTGTTCTACATAGCTAAGAATTCCCACATTGCAAAAGATTATGGGTTTGCATATCAGCAGGGGCATAAATAATATATTAAATAGAGCTGCAAAAAGTAGACTGATATTAAAGCTGGTTACAATGAAATCCAAGAGCACAAGGGTAATTTATAAGCAAACCTTCTCAGAAGGACCTTCTTTCCCTGTTTCCTGAACAGATTCACCCTGTAATAATAAAAACACCGAAACTTGCAAAATCAATAAAACCCTGCCTAAATTTCTAAAAAAGGAAACCAAGACAGAGAATTTTAAAACTGGACAAAGGTATAGTCACCTGCAGATGCCAGATGAGAATATGTGCAAATATATCACTTCTTTGGGCAGCTCTGAGAAGATACCCTTCTACCAGCCTCTGCAAGTAAAGCGTTCTTTAGATACCAAAAAGAACGCGTTAAGTTCTAAACAGGAAAAAAGAGAGATATAACTGTGCAAGGAAGATACTTTTTTATTTTTTCAAAAATAAAGTTAACAAGAAAAAAAAAATCAGATGGACAGGTTGCCTAAATATTTGTGGCAGGTTATAACGAAAATAAAATGCTAATCTGACGTACAGGAAAAACTTTTAGTTTTGTTTGCATAAAAAGGTCAAGAAAAAAAAGGTTTTATGGCCTGAGAGTCTAGAAAATTACTTTTATCACTAATTTTGGGAATATGGGAAATGCAGCACCAATCAGGGCAGAATCTAGTTCTTACACTCCTAAAACAAGATGGTTTTCATGAAATATACAGATTTTTTTGCCATAAAACTCACCCCTTCATCATAACGCAGAGATTGCACCAACTGCGGCATGAAGAAAGTGACTCGTTCAGGAGGGTAGGATTCTAAAACTCTTAGGACATATGCCATGACGCGTGGATGCCCCTTATAAGCAGGAGTAAGGAACTCAAGAGCTTGTGTAATTGAACAAGCAGCCCAATGAGGCAACTGCTGCAAAAGCACTGAATTCTCTTCCACGCTTTTAGGTGTAACAAAATATGGCAAGGCTTCAGGTATTGTACGAAGATCCACTATATGTGTCTGCATGGAAGATTACAAGGCCAATCCATTAAGATCGTCTCAGCAAATGTTGTGGTATCAATGCCCAGAGATCAAATCCATTTACAAACTCCGTAATCCTATTCTCAGCAAATGTTTTAATCATGTTAATAATTTATTCGCATTAACTATAGTCATGATATCAGTTTGTGTATGCCTTAAATCTTACATCAAATGTGCAGTACATCAATCTCTAACCACCCAAACTCCAAGACAATCTTTCCTTAATTTTCCAAAAGTTGAAAGTCCTAAATAAAGCGACTTCTGTATATTCATACCTGAACCAGCTGAGTAACTTCAGATTTCAGAGCTGCATTTGTCGGAAATCTTGAAGATAATGATAAAGCAATGCGAGGGTCCACCGAAAAAGCAGTCTTAGCGTATTCAGTCCACTTGTCAGAGCTTATTTTATGCCGTGAAGACGAATTGTCCCTACAGATAAGTTGAAATTTTGAAACGTAATCAATACAAAAATATGCAAGTCCAAAAAATCCATAACACAAGCAAACCAGAAGCAGGAATTGTTTACTTCGAAAGTATAGGTTGTGCCCAAACTTCAAGCCTATCAGCTTCATGCTGGCAAAGCATTAGAAGCAGCTGCTTTCTCTTTTCTTTTCCAACAGCATAACTCTCCATCTGACCCCAGACAGGGTGATACTGGTCATTCTGTAGGCATGCAGGTAAAATAAATACCGAAATTTGCAGTTGAATGATGGATACCATAATGAATATACCAGCACGGAAGTACATGATGCACAACACGAAAATAATATCATACCATGATAGTCAAGTTCCCGTTCCCATTAGCTTTTCCTTTGGAATCAGATTGCACAAAATCTGATTTCTCATTTGACAAGAAGTGAGCAAAAACAGAAACAGATTGAGCTTCACTCAGAGAGAAGCTCGGAATATTTACTTCATACCACTCCGGCAGATGAGCAAACCATCCTAAAGAAGTCCTGGAACAAGTAGAAAAGACATATCTCGTCACCATGCACAAAGTACAAGAGAATTAAACCGGCCTAGGCAACCACAAAACCAAGTATATTTATAAACTTTTGATTAAGATTTAATAAAAAAATTTCATTAACTTCAATAAATTAAGTAGTGAGCATGCTTCCTCGTTGGAGTAGATGAAGATCAAGAAAGGAGAAAGAAGGTATGCAATACAAAATATGACACAAGAAAGCAGGGAGAATAGTGAAAGTCACCGATAGATCCGATCTTCCAATAGCTGGAGCCCAGTTCTAAATTTCTGCATATTGCCTTGTGACTGGCATGAGCAGAACTTCATTCCAAGGAGCATCAAAGAGAAAAAGGTGCCAGCAGCTGCAGGGTGGCGAGTAAAGCACCAGTCAAGCTTCGTACTCCGTTGTAACATTCTACCAAGCAGCAAGAGTTGCTCGGCACTATTATGTCGGACAACCTACAACCATGACAGTAATAAGACAAAATCCCTCAAACACCTTATATGCTTCATTTTAAGCAAGAACGGAACAATAGTTCAACTTTAAATAAGCATAATTGCAAATGATCCAACTGAATGATAATAAAAATCAGGACTAACGCTCTAGGCAGACTTTACTAACATCAGAAAGCACAAATAAACCATGCACATATGAGTTCTCTCTGAAATAAAACAAATAAACCATGCACATGTGAGGTCTCTCGGCAGAAGAAAAAGTAGATAGAATAAATCCTAACCTCAAAGCGATCTATAAAAAATCCAAGCCATAGCCTGTGAGCAATTATTTGATCAACAGGATCAAATTCCGGCAGATTTTCCGGTTCCCCTGGGGCAAGCTGAGGCCTTAGCTTTGCTGATGGGCCAGAGTATCTCACATCAGACGCAAAAAGTCCTCGCTTTGTATCAATTGTCCATATCCATGCATCAACAAGCTCCGCAAGTACAAGAGATCCTAGCTGTGGAGCAGCAGAAACCAACCAGGTCCAAATGAAAACACCAGTTTCCATAGCATCTGGAGTAGATATATAAGCTGGACACCAACAAAGGAGACGCAATAACCGAGAGAAACCTTCGACATTTGATTTTGACTCGCCACCCTGATAAAGCAAGAGTAGAAAATGTAACCTTAGAATATGATAACTATCTGGAAGATACCACTACACCTAGGGAGAGAAAAAAGAATATCTCAGCTTTCAAGGAAAAAGGCCTTACCAGATTTGACAGAAGTAGTGCAGTTGCTCGGGAACAAGTTTCCCGAAATTGAGACTTGTCCACATCCCCTCCTTTCTCAGCAGTACTAACAAATTGTTGAAGGAGCCGAACAAACTTGGAAATTAACATCTCATTAAATGAATCGTCCTCTTGTTGTGATGGCTGAGAAAATGCCCCAGAGATTAACCTCTGAAGGCCACCACCAAAACCACCAGGTGAAGCGCCAGAGTGAAAACCACCGATACTGTTGTAAAATCCTCTCATGCCAGCAATTTCTCCGGCATGGTTACACTTCACTGTTGCACTGACAACACCAGTACTGAGCACCTCCAAGTTGAAGGCCTCAGAAACTATTATGTTTGCCCCAGAAGCTGCAGCTGCTGCAGCCATTACAGCTGGAATATTTGCTGTTCTTATTCCAGACCAAATATCATTTTTCCCAGTTCCAATCTTTATCTCAGATAAAAGAGAGACCACATCAGTCGTAGTTTGTGTTCGCTGCCAAGTGTTTGCTTTACACAGCTTATCCTGAAATGCAGATTCAAATCATTATATGTAAGAAAAACTCTTATGGTGCAGTAAAAGGGATATAAACTATACCATGACTTGAAAAATCCATTCTAACCCAAAAGGACTACAGATAGTCAACTATTGTGGAAGTACTAAAAGGGAAACTGAAATCGCGAAAAAGAAAATTTCTGGTGAAAAATCTAGACCAGAAAAGACAGAAAAAACCAACTTAAGCCCTCCTGTTCAAAGCTTTTCATGATTAGTTTATGCATGAAAAACAGATCATTTCAAGACATTTTCGTCAAACTGGGATACAAGGAGGGAGAGGGGGGGGGGAAGAGGCTATAAAGCTTTAGCTTTGTATGAAAGCAAAGGAGCAAATATTTTTAAAAAGAAAAAAGAGAGAGTTAGAGACAATATGAGAAAGTAAAACATGGACACGGATACAAGGACGAAACAGTAATTTTTCTTCCCTATAGATTTCCCATGCAAACAGTGTCTAAATAACAAATGGAGAAACACAAATTGAATAAAGAAAGAAATATGATTTAACATAAAGAAAGAAACCTGAAGCAAGCCCTGACTAGTGCAAGGAGCATATGAAAGTGATATTACGATCCATTCTCGAACAACTTTCTGGTACAATGACCGAACAGCAGCAGTCCAGGCAGGATCATTGACAACAGTTGAAGGTGTGTCATCATGAACAGAGAAAAGCAGAGTATCCAGACAAGATGAATTCCAGAGCACCTACATTTTCTCATTGTTAATTGATACCAAAGCACATTGCGCCTAATTAAATCATGGATAAGTAAATTTGCAAGAGATAACAATGCAAGAACAGCAGAGGATCCATACAAGACGAATTCCAGAGCACCTACATTTTCTCATTGTTAATTGATACCAAAGCACATTGCGCTTAATTGAATCATCGATAAGTACATTTGCAAGAGATAGCAATGCAAGACAGGACTCCCCTTTTAAAGATTGGAATCTTCACTAACAACTCTTTCTAGTGGCTCTTAAATTACCATTTGATTAGTGGGCCTGCTTAATCCCATTCATTAATAAGTGATCTGTGGTTTTATCATTGTTAGATATGTTGGAAAGACATGTTTTATTAATATAGAATTTTGACATAACTAACTATAATTCTTGCACTAACAACACTCATCAGAAATTAAAAGGTTCGCAGCATGTAAACGCCTGAAGTAGACAGCAGACAACAGACATTAAAGCAAACCAGAAGTAGCATGCAGGAGGAAGATAAGGAAACCAGTAAACAGCACCCAATAGTTTTATGGCAGAAGCACGACAGACCTAAATCATGTGACATAAAATCTCCATAGGAAAACCAGATCAGACAAATGTTGTCTCGAGCTGGGAATGGGCATTTTATGGAATTAATTGCATGTTGGTGATGCCAGAGCAGGAAAAAGGAAAAAGCTTGAACAATTGGTATAGGATTTACCCTGTAACCAGGTATTACGAACTACTAGGATTTGTTATTGATAAACTTTGATATCATAACTGAGATGTGCGTCCTTTTTATATAAATCTTTCTACATATAAACATAATTTTACTCCCACGAGAATTCTATCAATGTGACAAAGACAAATTTACATGCATAATATCATTTATTTCACTCGTAAATTATACTTATAACTAAATGAAAATGTTTGAACCAAACAGGTTATACGAAATGTTGTTACCTGAGGAAACTTATCCCTGAGCTGAGTCAACAGGTTCACAGAAATGTCACGAATGTGTTCATCCCTCTGTGACATACTCTTTATGAGGAAACATGCATGCGCATATGTAGTTGATTCTCTAATTGTAGCATCCTTTCCAGTTAGAGATATCCGATCTTCCTGAAACCCGATGATAGTTCCCATAAAATAAGCATAACATTAGAGTACACCAAGAAGCAGAAATACCACAAAGTCTGATGTTGGAGACTACTAACGTGATGACCAAAAAGCATACACACAGGGACAGAAGCAGAAAGCAGAAAGGGCTAGTGAAAAAAGAGAAGCAAAATAGACTGATAAAATGGCTACAGTTTCCACAAAAGATTTTGTATATAGAATTCACTAAACTGCTGCGAAGAGGTAATGACATACCAGCCATGACACTGCTGTCTCAAAGGCCCTATGCACAATTGCTGTCAAACACTGTGAAACCGCAGGCATAAGGTTTGGAGTTTTTAGATACTCAAAGACACAACTGAAAGCACTTCTAGAAGGTGTCACACTCAAACCACCATTAAGGATGCCCCCATTGCTACTAAAGCGAATGATTTCCAAAAAAGCTACTGCAAGAAGATAGGTTGCCTTCACTCCTGAGAAAAAAAAAGGAAACAGAATAAACATTTCAGACATGACATTAAACTGTAGGATATCAATGACACCACTATATATCTAAAGCTAACAATATCCGAGATTTCAAGCAAAGAAAGCTTCAAGATATCAAAGGTTAGAAACACCAAAGTCCATCTACCAGACATCGGCAAATATTTTTTACCTGAGATATTGTTCATTGCTGCAACATCAACTCGACCTCCTAAAGCAGTTGATAGAGCAGTTCTCTGAGTCACAGCAGCTTTCTCATTTCCACTTCCTCGACGGCTACCAGGATTGTGAAGCGCATTGAGTTCTAATTCGTCTTCAAGCCATTTTACTGAACTCACAACCTACAAAGAGCATATACACAATTGATTTCAATAAAGACATTTCAAATATATTCGGGGTCTGTAAAAGTTAAAACGCAGTACATAGACAGCTGATAGATATCACTGAACATATATGCAGCTATCTCGCTATGACCGTGAACTACAAAATAAAAATATTTGTGAAGTGATCCTTCTGGGCTGACTGACTGACTTACAAGGGGAGGAGTGCCTTGCGCAATCCGCTGAACTGCAAGAGCCCACTCAGTTTTCCACATGTAAGGTCCTCCCACTGCTTGTAAAGGACTACCCATGCTTCCCGAACTGTTCACTGGATTGGACATTGACTTTGCTGCTGGCATTGGAGCTTTCAAAATTGGGGGTGCTAAGCCAAAAAGGGCTATATAGAACCACAGATTGCGAAACAACTTCAAAAGTGATGGTTCAACAGCCAAAGTGGGATCAAAATCAGAACATATTTCTGCAACAGCAGGAAGCAGAGGTCCTAAGAGCTCAGCACCACTCCTAGGCAGAAAATAAAGGAAAGAAAGAATCAATAATAAGCACAAGGTAAATAATGTAACTATTATCGCAAAAAAAAAAACGAAAAACAAAAGTGCCATGTTTGCAATGCAGACAAATATTAAATGGAGTACTCCCTATTATACTAAGATTTTAGGATAATAAATATAGGATTATGATAAATGAAAATAGATAAGTAGAACATTTATTTCATTAGGTAGTCAAAAGACCAGCTACAAAGACCCCGCAAGCCATGAAAGAAAATTTTGTCTCCACACATGCAAGAATCGTATGATTACCTTCCACTTTTGGACTCAGCAGCCAGACCTACATCTGAACACAAGGATAGCAAACGATGGCGATAGTCAGAACGCAATTTTGTATCTGTGAGACCACTGGCAATTGTAAGAAATCCTGCCGGAAGAGTCTACAATGCAATTCAACCAGTGAGCATCAGTATCATAGAAAATATCATACAGCAACTCAATCAAACATGGACCAAGTTTCAGAAAAGAAAAAATTCATACCTCTACACGTTCAGTTGTGGCTTCTGGTGTCGAAGTTTTGCTTTCAGAAGTTTCTACACTCGATAATTTGCTCAAGTAACTTCTTGTCAACAAAACAACTGTTTCTCGGTAGGACTTCTCAAACCCTAAAGTTGCTATCCGAGATACAGCATCAAGAAGCTGCAGTAAATTGACAAATAGACACTTAAAAAGTATACAGAAAAATTTAAAGGGAAAAGGTACTAGAGTAGCAGTTTCCGTCACTGTCTAAGCTTGAGAAGACAGACTGATAGAACAATAATCGGCATGTTATCACGGAAGAGAATGGGACAGTACCCGGAGTCGCAACAAGCCAGGAGTTGAAGCATCACCCTCTTCCAAGCTTTCTATAAAAAGTGGCAAAATCATGTCCACTACCTCAGGTTTCTTGACAGCTACGTTGAGATCAGCAAGAAGTCGTATAATATTAAGCTGTACAGCAGGAACCTGTTTCTCTTTATCAACCTGGAAACCAAATTATGGACCTTATGATAATGATAAGATTATAAATCAACAGAAGAAGAGCGAAAACGCGTGCTAAGTGCTAGGTAAAATTGTTTTATACGTCGAAAAGGAAATCATATCACCTGCTCTTCATAGTCGTTTCTTTCACGAATGCTTGTAGCTAGCCCCATGATGAATGTATCAACTGGAGCTCGATCCTTGGCCCAGCCAGATTCAATAATCTCACAGCTAGTTTTAAGTACGCTCCCAAACATAGCCCCCTGATTGTTCACCCAAGTATCTGGCTGTTCCGACAAATGTTTGAAAATAAATATAAACGATGTTGAGTCAGTTAAATTTACTAGAAACCAAACTGAAGCATTGCGACTGACATAATATATCGACTATAATTCTACAGGCACACAGACATGATGAAAATTCAGGTTGGTAGCATAGACTAGGTTGCTACTATGAGTTCAGACAAACAAAATTACCTGTGCACAGACAGCCAGTACCAATGGTTTAAGACGGATGAGCAACACACGAAGTGGTTGTCCTCCCCGAGCCACTGCAATCTTTGCAATCCCCGAAAGCAGAGAACTGAAAAGCTCTTCACAGGCCCTCATTTTCCGCCATACAGATGTCAAGCAGGCATCTGCAGCATCTAATAGCAATGCGAGAGTCTCCAACACCAACCTTTTAGAGGTCTTTCCATCTGTTTCAATAGATACGAGACTCTTGATTTTCATTTTGGCTGCAGCCTGATAAACAGACAGTTTGGCATTGACCCTAGTTTTCAAAACTGGCCCTTGTTCATTCCAATCTCGCTTTCTTGACTGCACAAAGAAGGCGGAAACAGAATCATCACAAGGTAACCATCACAAGGACCCTCGTAGCATACACCAAATTGTTCGACCGCAACAAGAATCATAGACCAGCCATTCCTTCACCCGTCTCTAGAAATTCCTAACAAAATACCTACTTCAGGGACTACCATCCTATCTATAACAATGAAAAGGATTACCTTTAGAAATGCAGACATAGATTGGAGCTGCCTCTTCGCCATAATTCTCACCTGCTCCAGTAGTTTGGAGTCAATTTTCACTTTATCCAAAATGTGGGTTATCAACTTAAACGCAACCTCTTGCTTCTCTAAGCTTTCAATAGGCTCGTCCTCGAAGGAAGCCACTTGCTGTCTGAACACAGGATTAGAGCCTCCACTCCCTTCACTGTATCCAAAACTCAGAAGATCTGCACCACTCTTCCACATGATACTTCCCCCATTCACCACCACAGACAAGGAACTCTTCGAAGACGCACTGGACCCATGACTCGCAACCTCGTACCCAGGACTAAACTCTTCGTTTTTGCCGGAGGCGTAAGGGTTCGTGCTGATGGGAGAACTCTGCGTCGACGAAGTTTCAGATCCAGCCGAGTTCTGCTGCCTTTGTTCCTTGGGAGACACCGGAGAATGGTTCACTGCGAACTGATCAAGCAGCAACGTTATCAATTTATCCCCATCAGACTGCAGAATCGACGGAAATTTCTGGGAAAGAGCGAGCAAGAAAGCTCTTGAAATCGCTGGATCACTGTCGCTCTCGCCGCCGTTCATGGCGAAGAGCACGACCTCTCCAGTGAACCCAGCGACCTCGGTGGCGAATTCCGGCGACAGATCAGCGGCGCACGAGACGTATCCCAAGAAATCGCCATAGAACGAGGAGATCGACTCAGTGGGGAAGGAATGCGGCCAAAACGAGCGGCGAAACGACGCAGGCACGGCGCGCAAGAACTCGAGCACGACGGATTTGGCGCGGTTGTCGGTAGAATCGGGGCTGCGGGAGAGGATCCGAACGACGGCCAAAACGGCATTGAGATGGCTACGAGAAACCCTAGGTGATCCGGCGAGGAGCCACTCCGGTTGCGGACACCGACCACAAATCCAAGCCAATTTCTCCGAGAATTGCTTCGGATTCTGCGCGATAATGTCGCAGAGCTCCGTCAATGCCTCCATATCCAGCGAGGAGAAAAGGCCCAAATGCTCGATGAAACAAAACCCGACGGAGAAGAGAGAATTTCTGGGATCAAATCAAATCTGCCGAGGAGCAGAGTCAGAATCTCCGATCACACGCATAGATCAAAGAAACGTGAATTTGCGATTTGGCCTACAATCCATTTCATCGAATTCTGCGTGTTTCGGGAAAGAAGACGATGAAATGCATCTTGTGGTTCATTGAAATGTCGCCTGAGTCGCCATTGCTCCGTCTCTCTCTCCCCCTGATTTCTCCGAGCGATTTAAAAAAGTTATAGTTTTGTATATTTATATATATACAGAGAATACGTTACTGAATCTATCCGTATATTGTGATTTTGATTGTAAAGTTATACATTTCCATCGATATTTGGTATTATACTTCGGATCAGAAATAGTTCGGTCAATTCTTTAGATTTTACATAGGTATCAATCCTTTATTATATTATGTTCAGATTATTTTTACATTTCGCTTTCTATTCGATTCTGTTTTTTATTTTAAAAAATAGCTTTCTTAAAAAATTCTATTTTTATAGTATTAAAAAAAATTCGATTCGGTTCAATTATAAAAAATAATTATAAAAAATGATTTTTTTAAAATTAATATGGTTCGAAAATTTTAAACCATTTGAATCGAAAAAAATATCGTATTATTCGGTTTACTAGGGTTTAATTTTTCGAGATCGACCCAAATCTCGTCATCTGTAGGTTTGAATTTCGACATCGTTATTTTGGTACGCAAATTTCTCGTTTGAAAAAAATATATTTATTTGATTTTTTTTATATTCAATTTCTGATAAAAATATTTATTTCAAAAAAATTGATTTTCTGTTTATTTTTATATAGGTCCTATATGATTTTTTTGGTTTTATAAAAATCATACACACATTCCATTCTTATATATATATAGACCGAATCTATTGCAGTATATTATGATTCTTACTGTACTTTTATCATTTCTTATACCCTTTCTCCATCAACGTCAATTGTATGTTGAGTTGCCGTATATTTTGAAATGTAAATTTTTAAATCTCTGGTCATAGTAATGTTTTATATTATACAAGAAAACATAAAAAAGGTTAGAGATTGTTTTTATTTTATAAAGAAAAGGTTAGAGATTGTTTCCATTGGATTCTCAAAATGTGCTGTTTTCTGATTTGATATTCCAGTAAATTCCAGATTTTTAACTATAGAAAAGTTATGGTAAGTTGGGGAATATACAGAATTAAAAACAATTACTTATAAAAGATAAATAGTGAAATCAAAATTTAATTATAGCATTCGAATTTCATGTTTACGGTGCTAATGTAAATTCAAAATATCACAACTTTCATCTATGGTTTGGGATCACATCAGAGAATAGTAAGATGTCTTAAGCTAATGGCAATAATTTTAATTTTGAGTTTTGACCTAGTTTTTGGTTTTAAATTTTTAGGTTTTAAAAATTCAAAAAAAAAAATAGCCTTGAATAGAAGAGATTTTGGATTTTTAAAATCCAAAAACCAAAAAAATTGACAATCAAGTTTTTATAAAATTATAAAAAAAACTCATATAAATATCTTACCTTTATAAAATTTAATATTTAAACTTTTAATTTTATATAAGAGAAAATGACATTTTTCCATACGTACTTTATAAAATGTGACAAAAACCTACACCAAATTATCAAATATCTCAAATCGATACACGAACTACCCAATTTTACTACAATTCCCTATACAATCCGAAAACGATGTTAAGTGTCCGTTAACAACTGACATGGCAACGCCACGTGGTGGCTGACGTGACACACCACACAGAAACTTTTTGTTATGTCAGCATGCCACGTCAGATTTAAAAAAAAAAGTCCGAAAAAATCGAAAAAAATAAAAAAAATAAAAAAAATAAAAAATATATATATATACATATCTATATATTCATATCTATATATAGATACAAATATAAACACTCCTATGTATATATATGTATATATATATTTTTATTTTGTATGTATATATATATATACATATATATATATATATACATATATATATGCATATATATATTCATATATACACGTATATGTATTTATTGTTGGTTGTGATGCTCTAGGATGATCCGTGATATGACATTTTGACTTTGTATTGATTCATTGATTTATGAATGCATTACTTTTCCCGTTATATGATTAGCATGTTTGTTATATTACGGTAAATATCCTTATGATTATGCATGCAAGAATGAAAAGCTTGTGCGATGTTCTCTATTCTGTTTAGTCTATAACTTGCAGGATATAATTTTTTTTGGCGTTTCTAGTGTTTTACGTAGAGAAAACCGTCCATCTGAGTTCTAACAGCAGTCTCGCAGATGGGAGGAACTGCCAATGATGCCCAGACCACAGATGGATTGCTTGGGCTTATCATACAGAGGCAGCTTTCACGTTCTGAGCGACCAAGTGGGCTTTGCGGAGCAAAATTCATCCGAAGTGTGTAATCCATTAGACATGACATGGTCCACTGTGGAGGATGTATGGCCTTTCTCGAGAGCCATGCAGTTTGCTGTTCAGGTGATGGAAGATGATCGAGTATATACGATTGTCGATTGGGGAGAGAGCTTGATCAAGACTAGGGATACTGAAAAAGGAGAATGGAACAATGTCGGTTCAGTTCCTTCCGTCGTTCTGCCCTGATGTCATTACCCGAGGACTATAATCAGTTCGTGATGCAGTACCATATGCATGGGATGACTAAGAGCTTAGCCGAACTACATGGGATGCTGAAATCGGCCGAGTAAGATATCGTGGTGCCCAAGACTGTGCTTGCTGTTGAGAACAACTCTAGCAAGAAGCGGCGGGGGAAAGCCAAAAAGAAGGTGGCGAAAAAGGCAAAAGTTGCCTCTACGCCGAAGCCTAAGCCCGATAAGGGTGACTGTCATTACTGTGGAGTGTCTGGACACTGGAAGCGTAATTGTCACCTTTACTTGGAGGTCTGAAGGACAAGAAGCTTGGTGAAGCTTCTGCCTCAGGTATTCATGTTATAGAAGCTAACATCTGTACTATATCTTCGTGGGTATTAGATGCATGTGAACAATAGATCTTTGCAGGTTTGCATGTCTTTAATTGTTAGAATGCATGTAGACTATAGATCTATGCATGTTTTCATGGTTTTAATGGTTAGAATGCATGTAAACATGAGATCTATGTTTGTTTGATGATTTTGATTATTGAATAATGCATGGATGAGCTATGGTTCTTAGGAGGCTTGATGGTGCGTCGAAACGGGGATGAAAACCCTAGTTTGCGGGACCCGAAACCGAGATCCGAAGTCTGTCCGTCGCGTGGACCGAACGGTCTAGAGTGTAGACCGATCGGTCTACGCATGACGGCGGTTGTTCCTTTTAGGTCAACTTAGGTCAGACCGAACGGTCCAAGGGTTGGACCGACCGGTTTGGACCGATGACCATAAGAGGGGTTCGGATCACGTTTGACAGACCATCCGGTCTGGTCTTCGGACCGTTCGGTCTGGGTCTGATGGAACGTTCGGTATTCGGGGTCGGTCTGCATTCGGTCATCCGTTCCAGAAGGTCTGGAACGGACGGTCCACGGATGCAGACCGTCCGTTCTGGCTTTCTGGAACGAACGTTCCACGTGTTTCGACAGACCGTCCGTTCTGGCTTGCTGGAACGGACAGACCATTAGAGGCAGACCGTCCGTTCTGGATTGCTGGAACGGACGGTCCACGTGTTTCTCTGGACCGTCCGTTCCAGTGTTCAGGTTTTTCCAAAGTTAAACCGACTGTCGGTTTGGACCTTGGACAATCCGTGATTCTGCAGAATTCAGATTTTGATCGAACAATTGTTGTGTTGGATCGATTATCAGAATTAGAATCAAAGCCTCACATAAGACCAAGCTTGATGACAATCCAGAATTCAGAGTTTTGATTGTGCAATCGTTGTCTCGAATCAAATATCTGAATTAGGATATTGAGAGGGTTCTGGTATCGAATCTAAGGCAAACAAATGTTGTTTGGCCAAGAGATTCTATATATAGACGACTCAAACGAACTAAGAGTAGTTCATCTGAGCTGATCAGAACAACTTGACTGGAATGACATGAATTCAGTCAAGGTATCCTGGTGTTCAAGACAAATGAAACCTCAATTTTGAAATCTCAA